GGAGTGTACGGGAGTGATTCACGCAATGGTGCGAATAGTCACGGCCTAATTTAATTCAATATTAATTTTAAAAAATTTTAAAATTGTTTAAAAAATCATTACGAAGAGCAAATTTTTTTTGCAACTTTTGAATTTTTCTAAAATTCTCCTGGAAGCAAAAAATCGTTTATTCTTCTTGTAACACGACCGAGGACCGACCGGAGGCTTTACCATCCAGGATCGTGCTCACAGGAAGACTTCTGTCCACTAAGTTTTTCACACAAGTGCAAGCATGGGGTAGGACGAAACGAAGAAGTGAGCGATGAAACTATCTCGGAGAATCAGTCGACGTTAATCAACGTGGCTGTCAAGAGGCGCTGTGACCGTTTGTCTCTCCCCTCGATCTTTGTGGATATCTCCCCCTGACCCCCCTGACCCCACCCACCCGACGACTCTCGTTTTTCCTGATGAGCGAGTGGTAATAATGATAAAGGGGAGTAATCATTATTGCTACATGATTCTCCGTTGCTGGATCTCTCTTCATTATTCTAAATCGATTGCACGCGTAACATTTGAAAATTTTCTTGATACTATTAATAGAACTCTTTGTTTAGTCCAATCTAGAAAAAGATATTTTCTCTATTTGCATCAAATAGCCAAATTTTTCGTTGTTTAAAGAAGAGTCAAAATATTGACATGTTCATGAAGAACGCAGAATGCGGATATTCTCAAAGTGACGAGACCCATAATTAATCCCTAATAACTTTCAATGTTCAACAACAATTGCCATTAATCCCTCTCCTGCTTTCAAAAGCGACCATTTCTGTCAAAACTCTGACATTTCAAATTGCTATCACTACTATCAAGAGTTGAAAACAAGAGACCGCATCAAAGAGCTTCAGATACGATGAATTCAAATCAATTTTATTCAATAGAACTTGACTGCACGAATGATTGGACACAGGCAGAAAGCGATACTGTCACACGCAGAGAAACGAACGGAAATAAGCGGAGTTATCAAACGTTCGTCAGTCAGAGAATAATTCCTTCTCTATGCACCACTAGTGCATTTCGGTCCATTCCTCGACTTGGAACTTCCAGTCAAGATTCTTATCACCCCGAATGAACAATATTTATATTCCGTCTAGTTGTTACTCTTCGTAAATTACATCTGCACATCTGCTACATCCGCATTTGTATACAGAACGAGTCGCGTGGCCATCCAAGAGAGAAACTGTACACTATTACAACTACTGTTAAACGTGTAGGAGTTGCATACTAGATATTCTACTGTCACCTGTCATTGCACGCACGTGCGCACGCCTTCTTCAACATAACTCCATCTTCTGCTTGAATTTCAATGAAATGTTCACGTGGATAGTACTTTTTTTCATTCGTCGAGTGTCTAGTCTAGGTGAAAAAAAGCAATTTAGAAGTTTGCATGTGATGAATACGTTTTGAAGATTTTTTCGGATGGGAAAATGCCTAGGGATATGTAGATGTGCGAGGAGGGGGACAGATGACACGAAAGGGGTACGAGCGGGACTCGTGCCGGCTGCTTCCGGTTTATCCCAACGGCCCAGGGTTTGACTCGTAAATAAAGAGTTATAGAGGAGTCAATTGGTGTTTAGTTGTTAGTTTGATTTTCAATGGATATTGACAGAGAATTGTCGAATCTAGTTGATTTCATCAAATTTTGTTAATATTTTCAATTTATTCATTAATTCCAAATGAAGGTTTACAACCTATTAATAAATTCGTTTTCTTCAACATCTAGAAAATGAAATTTATTCAATTTTATTTTTTATTTAAGCAATTCCAACATGAAAATTGCTCTCATCATTATGAAGTACATTTTTATATTATCTTAATCACCAATAAAACTTGCTTGCTGCCGGTGTCATACAGAAACGTGCGACTGGAGGGGTGATTTTTACAGTTGGGAAAAATAGGTGCGGTTTGATTAGGATCAAAATTATCGATTGCCTATTCCCGGCGGTAAATCGTCGTTTTTCGCCGTGGGAACATCATTTTATTTTTGTTTACGTATGAAAGCTTTTTAATTAATCAAGTTTCTTCAAAAAAATTATATAAAATGATAAATTATACACGATAGAAGAAAATTATGTGTAAAATGACAAATTGCAGATTTATGCCATATATTAAGGCAAAAGCAATTTCCCATTAGTTTATTTTCATTCTTCAATTTACCTAATTTTTCATTAATAATAATTTGGTGAATTATTCCTGATTAATTCCTAGAACGAGACGAATATTTTTGAAATTACATCCAATCAAGTTGACATCCATCTCATTTCCTGGGATTTTTATTTCTTATAGAATTTGATTGACCGTGGCTGCATCATAGAAAAAAGACCATCAAATTAAAATAGAATTTAAACCATGACCTGCTCGTAAAACATCCAGAGATCCAGAGAGTATACTAGTCCTCGGCATTCCCTTTAATTCAAGTATATCTCAGGGTTTATGAATTTTTCTTCCTCCATGGGATCCGTGCACCCTCTCAAGAACTCATTGTGCGTCAATTGAGGCTCGTTTAGACTGGGGGTTGCCGACCAAATTGATTTCAATTGGTCTCGGGGACGATCCT